AAATATTCAGTGACAGCCGAACTAGATATTTTTCCTATTATGTTTTAGAGTAAATGTCTTTGATATATCCATGTAGTATGAGCAACCCAATTTCCAGACTGTGAGTCAACTAGCTAGCATCTCATAGGTCTTGAAATCACTAACACATAAGAGCTATTCTGAGTTGAAAATCCTGTTTCGTAGTGATGTTATAAGTAAGCACACCATCTCCCATAACATTTGAAGTTCTTTAATAAAATACTATAAGTATACGTCAATTTTGCCTATTGGGCCATGTGGATATGGTATGATCAACGTTAGAAATAAGAAAGACATAATCATGCAAATATCGAGGGGCAAATTGTTCGGCATAATGATCACTGACCACCATGAGAGGTTGTAGTGTGACTATACATGGTGAAGCCATATGCACATAACCTAAGTCTAATATTGTGTGCTTCAGCTACAAAATCCTAGTAAGTATGATCAAAATGTCTTAAGGCCTCATCATGTGACGAAAGACTAATCGAGTTAGCATTAATGGATCTAGTACTGTGCTAAGTCATGTGAGGGGCCATACACATGAAAACGATCAATCTCTAAAGCTAGGGTACGAGAAGAAAATAAAAGAGATGCTGTACAAACTATTTTTTTTGTTTTTACTCTTTCGCTCCATTGTTTGAATATATCGTTACCACAAAATTGCCAGATTATCTCAATTGAATTGTCCTTGTGACATATCATGCACCCATTAACGTAGCAATCAATCTCCTCATAATATAACCCTAACTTGAAATCAACTTCTTAGTTATGTACTGGTCATTTGGCAGTAAATTATTCGTCGGGTTGATCTCTTTCAATAACGTTGTTACCAGATTGAATACTTATCTGGGCATGTTAAAATCAGATTTCATGGTTAACATTCTCAACGCCACTGATAACTCTGTTTGTATTGTGCAATTATCCCATAGAGGTTGTTGTGCATCGTTAAATAAGTCATAGAACTATTGTGATTCGTTGTTTGATGCTTCATATTCGTGTGGAAAGCTTTCAACAAATTAAGGTCGTCGAGCATCATGAACCATTTCTTCAAGTGAGGGGCATAACTTGTTGAGTCCCCTCCTTTTTTAAACTGAACTTCAAGCTCTTCCTCATCATGTGTAGTCCAATATAAATAATTAGGCTTAAAGCTCTTGCAGTAAAGAGCCAAATTAACTTCTTCGGGTAGCAGAAATATTTGATTTTTTGTATTTTGTACAAGGACAATGAAACTTACCCTCAGAACGATGAATGGACAGTTGTCATGCCACTACACAAATTCATCAACGTCATTCAAGAATTTATCTCTTAGTCCTTTTCATCATGGATATAATCTATTATGTTTCCAAGCTCTCAAATTATAAATATCTATATGCAACATAGTTTTAGTTTTACAAGTCAGTGTAACTATTAGAAAAATAAAAATTAGTTAAAAATTTTTAATATGTACGGTGGTTGATTATGCTTAGTGGTTCGTGGATGTTAATTCTAATCGAAAAAAATGACCCCAAAAACTTCTTTTAAGTATCTCGCTTCATCCGGTGAAGTCGACACAACTTGGTCAGCCATATATAAGACACATCTTTGAAGTCATTTTTTTAAAACAATAGACCCGATGCACTCCTCCACTTCAAACAACCTTGAATTCTACTAAAAACATCCCCATCTATATCACCATCACTTTGAACAAGACCGGATGCACTCCTTTACTTCAACCGACCAACTTGAATTCTACTAATAACATCCCTATCTATATCACCATCACTTTAAAATTTTGACTTGACTGATGCATTCCTCCCATTCAACCAACCAACTGCAATTCATCTAATAATATCCCCATCAATATCACCATCATTTCGAACAAAAGACTCTATCAATTTATTCCTCCACCTCAATCAACAAACGTGAATTCTAGTAATAACATCCCCTTCTATATCACCATTAATTCGAACAAGTCTCGATGCATATATTGCTTTACTTCAACCAACCAACTTGATTTCTACTTATAAGTAAAAGTATACCACTTAATACTTACATATAATATATATATATATAGCTAGCACCTAAGCTTCAATTTTACAAAGATTTCATACATACCACTCAATTCTTGTGTATATACATACCTAACTCATAAACTTCAATTATCACAAAGATATTCATACGTATCACTCAATTCTTATGTATATACATACCAAAGCCATGAACTTCAATTGTTACGAAGATATTCATACATACTACTCAATTCTTATGTATATGCATACCTAACACCTAAACTTCAACTTTTACCTACATACTACATTGCTTGTCTATGAATATCTTCAATGCACAACTTTTTTTATTTTATTTGACATGCATATAACCAAACAGAAAAAACACTTTTCTTATATTTACTTTAAAAACAATCAAATAAGCTACTAGAACCATAATACATTACAATTATAATGTAATGTATTTTACTTGTTATGTATTTTTATTTAACATAACCAAATAGTCTCTTAATTCTATTAAGCACTAACATTTTATTTTAAAATAGATTGAATTACATGATATCAAAAGTATAAATTTAGATTTGCAAATGCATGAAATAATAAGTTAAAAGTGCCATACACTTATTTTATTCAAATTTAAAAAGACAAATCAAAGCAAAGACAAGCCGTCTTAGCTCAGCTGGTAGAGCGCATGGCTTTTAACCATGTGGTCGTGGGTTCGATTCCCACAGACGGCGACTTTTGTTATTTCACTAAATAATTACGGGAAATTTTTAAATATCCATAACTAAGGAAGAATTCTTCTTCAATTGGACTGAATAAATACTAATCGTTCATGTTTGATTGTGCAAGTTCTACATTTATATGTTTTGTTTGCTAAATAATTGTTCGGAAAATATTATTTGTAATAATAAGATAAAAGTAAGGTTTTTTAAGGTGCATTTTAATACTAATCATTCATGTTTGTAAAAATATTCTTTGTAAGTACCACGTAACTCGTTTTGTTTTTTTCCAATTCCAATGATCCATTCTAGGGTTGCTCAAATATCTACCCAAAATCTCAACAGTGAATGCTATATCTGAAACTAGAGCGTACATTAAACTCCTAACAACTGATACATAGGGAAATCTATTTCCTTAGCCTCAAACTCATTTTTTGGACACTGAATTAAAGTGAATTAATCTCCTTTACACAGGGTGTCTATTGACTTACAATTTTGCATGCCAAATCTTATAAGCACAATTTCAATATAGTACTTTTGTGATAGCCCAAGAATACACCGAGAATTATCTCGATAAATTTTAATCCCCAACATAAAAGAGGCATCACTAGGATCTTTCATTCCAATATTTTGGCAAAAATCTCTTAATTTCGAGCAATATATCTATAGCATTAGTGGCAAGCAATATATCATCGACATACAAAATCAAGGAAATACACTTACTACCACTAAACTTATGTTATATACAATTATCTATACTATTCATCACAACTGAATGAGATAATCACTTAAAGTTTTTAGGTTGCATCATATAAACTATTTCATTAATCTCACCATTTAAAAATGTTATCTTAACATCCATATGATATAACTCATGATCAAAATATGCTACAAGTGTCATAATTATTGTGAGTGATCCTTTCATAGAAATAGGAGAGAAATTATCTTTTTAATCAATGCCTTCCATTTGAGTAAAGTACTTGGCAACAAGACAAGTCTTATATTGTTCTACATCACCCATCAAATTCCTCTCGGATTTAAATTCATTTACAAACAATAGTTTTCGAATCTTTAGGTAATGAAACAAGATCCCAAAACTTATTTTCTTGCATGGACTTGATTTCTTCATTCATGGAATTAATCCACTTTTAAGAGTTTACACTTTGCATGACATGATGGACATTGATGGGATCATTCTCCATCAATCTTATGTTATCCTCATGCTCATGGAGAAATACTATAAAATCATCCAAAATAACACTTCTTTTCTCTTTAGTGGATCTCCTTAATGGCTCAAGTTCTTGTGGCAGTTATTCTTGAGAGTGCTGAGTTTATACCTCAAGCGTTCAACGAATTTGTATTATTGATCTTTGACGTGCATCAAATTTTCATACTTTTTATGCTTTAATTCAAGTAATTTTACAATTTGAAAACATGATTTTTATGCTTTTGGAATGTTGGAATTACATTTTGCAAGTTACAAGAGGGCAAGCACAAAAATTGGAGCAAAACGAGGAATTTTGAAAAAAAATCTGGACCAAAGTTGCCAAGCCTGGAGCTAGCGTGGCCACGACACTTGAGTAATGTGGTCACACCGAATTCGAGCAAGGTTACGCCCCAAGCATTGAAGTGGGCCGCATGATGGAAGGACTGGCGTAGCCACACAAAAATGCGACGCAAACACGTTGCCCAACCAGAGGAGGTGTCGTAATTGCACCGCATATCGGGCGTGGTTAGTATATTTTTTAATTTGAAAACTCTATAATGGGGAATTCCGATCAAATTGAAAAGGTTTTTGAATTTATGCTATAAAAATAATGTAATAGGGAGACTTTGAAGGGCTTTTTAGATAAGAGATTGCAGAAGAACGCATGGGTATGAAGAGAAATTTATTTTCCCCTCTAAGATTTCTTTTTCCTGTTTTTTCTCTGAGAGAAGTTTATGAGTGAAATTGGGTGGGGTTCTCGTAAGATAGGAGATCAAAAGGATATAAGTTATTTTTATCTCAATAGTTTAAGAATACTTCAAACATGTTTGGTTTTATCTTCTTTTCAAAGTTATGTATAAAACTTCTCTTTTGATGTTAAAGAGCACAACCCTCTTGCAATTTTCATTATGTTTTAAGAAAAAAAAATCAATATAATGTTTGTTAGTGCTAAGCATAAACAAAAAGATAGCTTTAAGTACGATGATGCATCTATAGACATAGTTAATGATGCAACATGAATATACGACAGGTTAATGAAAATATAATTTTTTTTATTGAGTTGCCTTATAGAATCAAGACAAGTTGATGTAAGTCGCGGATCTGGCAACTTATATTTCCAACACACCAACATTCATTCTAAAACTATGATCATAAGCTAGTCAACTATCTTAAGTTCTTTTCTGCCAATCAAAGCTTACAACATACAACAATCTTCATCAAATTAGAACAAACCTTATTTCTAGCACATATATATAAGATGCCTTCTTTCTATCCTTGCAACTATATATCTATATCTATATATTCTATTTATCCACTGCCAAAACTACCAACAAGATAAGCAAGGCATCCAACAATTGGAGCATTTATATATGTGGCCGGCTCCGACTCGGCATAGTTATTCCGATCATCTGCGTACCCATCATTCTGATCAGGACCACCAACCACAGCTCCGGTCAAAATATTTGGGTTTGGATTATTAGTGTTGAGGTACTGAAATCCTTCTTGGCAGCCAATATGGCTAGGATGGCTAGCCTTTGACGGCAATGATGATCCTCTATGGTGTATTTTTTTCGGATAATTTGTACTGTAGCCCACCATATATGATAGTTTAAGAGGATTGTCTCCCAATATATAATCCACCTGTTCATCAGAAAGATAATATTAGTTACTAGCTAGGATCATTAATTTGCATTTATTTAATGAGTAATAAATCGATTAAAATTTAATTATGAACCTGTTTTTTTGCTAGGTTTCTTAGAGTGTTTGAGGTAACAAGAAGATTTCCACAGTTGAAGTTGTGGGCTGATGCAGCCATGTACTTGGCATAGGTAGATAGTAAAAAGGAAATTGAAGTAACATATTGGAGGTTGCTGGAGCTCAGCTTGTATATAAGGCCTCCTGTGTTAATAAATCGACAAAGATAAGAGATTAATTAGAGATAATATATGATTATTATTTATGATTAGTGAATCTTAATTTTCAAACCTGGGGTGTACTGTGTTGATGAAGATGGGGAGTTGGGTAAGATTTTGCAGAAGAAATCTTCAGCCTGAGTTCTGAAAGCATCGTAGGTCTTGTCTTTGTCAACCAAAGATTTCTGCAGAAATATTAGATTTAAGTTAATTACGATTTATGTCGTTATTTGTGTGTTTGCTTGATTTAATTTGTTTGTTGAGATTAAATTCATGAGATTTTTTGTAAAGTTTATTGGTTAATTAGATTAATTACCCTTGCTAGGAGCACTCTGGCTCCTGCAAACTTGTTATCCCAGCTAAAGATGTCTGTTTGATCGTTGGCACCGAGCGAATTCAAATAAGTGAGATAGGAGGTGTCATTAGTAGCTCTTAGCAGCCAAGATGCTCCCCACAGCAGCTCATCCTGCACCACAATTTTTTGAGATTTAAAAAAAAAAAGTTTCACACTATATATATGACATCAATAAGAAATTTAAAAAATGTTAGTTTGAAGGAGTGTATTATCTGAGCTTGAGAAATAATTTTCAGTATTTTTTCAAGTCTGGATAATTTTATTAGAATTAACTTATTTCGAATCATAAAATTGTCAGTATTTTTTAAAATCTCGATAATTTTATAAGAAAATTGAGGTTGCATTTTAGTTTTTTCTGTTTTGACAAAATTATTTTTTTTCAGTTTCCTCAAAAAGCTGCAGCTGAAAGCTATATTTTACCACCAGATCTCACTAAATGTGATTAGTAACAGTCTGACAACTTCATCTTCAAATAGCTACAATCGTTCCGAATAGACCCTAAATCTTATACGAAGAAATTCAGAAAATCCCGATTTTTACAGAAAATAGAAAAATTTAGAAATAAAAATTTCCATAAAAACATTTTGACCATGAAGAATTCTATACTAAAAGTGTCATTTGCTTGCATTAAAAAAAGAAAAAACTATGAATATTAATAATTCTCCATTAACAAATTATTTCCCACCTTATATCCCGAATAGGAGCAGTAAAACGGGCAAACCGCCCCCACCGAATCACTATACTTTCCCTGATACTTCTGCGCAAATCCCATCACCTTCTTAGCCGCCGCCAACAGCTTGCTCGAATAAGCTCTATCCACCGACCCAAAGACTATCGAAGCCGCCGCTACCCCCGCCGCTGTTTCGCCGGCGACATCTGACCCGGGAGCCGACGGTGAGACCCAGTAAACCGTACGCGGGGTGTCCATATCCTCCGGCCGTTCCCAGCAATTGTGGTCGGCGTTGGGGTCGCCGACTCCCACGTAGAGACGGTCTGGTAGTCCGCCGGCGGCTTTTAGGAGGTAGTCGGTGGCCCATCGGACGGCTGTGCGAGCGGCCGCAGTCTGAGAACCCAAGCGCTTGCCGTACTCTATGATGCTCCAGGATAACATTGTGCTGGTGAAGGCCATGGGGAAGCCGAATTTTACATTGTCGCCGGCATCGTAGTAGCCGCCGGTTAGGTCCACCTTAGAGATGAATCAATGAATATAGTCAAAGTCAACATTGAGTCCAGTATATATATATATATATATATATATTC